CAATCTGAAGTTTTATAGTCTTCCCATCTTGCTCTACGGTACGGATTTTCTACATGAAAAGATTTGGCAAGATGAGTATATACATTTATTTAAGAATGGGATGGCAGAATAAGATCACAGAAGATTCCAACTCTATATAAATGAAGTAGCTCAGAAACTACAGTGGTATTTACTTACAAAATCAACTCCAATGGTGCTTATGTAACTTTCCAGATATGTGTCATCCTGATGGAAATACATGACAAACATTCAGCGCCATTTACAGAAGATAACTTTAACCACATTAAACTATATTCTGATAACTTTCCATTGCAAAGGTGAGAATATCCAAGAACTCTTAAAAAATCTCAAACAATAAAGCTCCATAAGCAGCAAGATGCATCATCAATTAATCAGTGGTTTTATACTGTGAACATGAAACTAGGAAAGTATCAAACTAGTGCCTTAGGAAGGAGGGACAAATATGATGCCAGAACTAGTTTACTTATCTACATGGTTATTGTACTTCATTTAAATAAGTTTGACTTCATTGTAGTTTTTCCATTTACTTTGTCCATATAATTGTTGTTCGTTATCATAATTATTTTTTCTGGCACTGCAACAATATTTTGTTTCCTTTGTGCCTTTCTTCGAGAATAACTTCGTTTTTAGTGAATTTTATACTAGAAACCAAACATATTTCGACACTTTTTATATGTTTTTTGGCCTTTGACAACACGTAACTCATAGACAGCTCATTAAAGCTAACAAACAAGAACAGGAAACTGGAATGGCGGTGTGTATGGCCAGTATGCTCCCCTATGACTTCCGTCCTTTTGATTTGTTAAAAGAAGAAATACAGTAGTACAACTAATTTTATGATCAGAAAACTTACGGCAAACCTCAGAAGAAGACATGATTTCCCAACACCAGAATCACCAATGAGCAAAAGCTTAAACAGGTAGTCACTGCAAGCAGAGAACAACAGATAAGGCATCACATCATAAAGTTTATTAGCTTGCAAGATGTATGCCTCTCTATGATATATTTTGCTGTGTACTGTGATTAACTTTTCATTTTAATCCTAACAACCATCATATAAAGCAATTTACACTGTTATAGCATGGTTACATGAACTTATCAAGAAAAAAAACATGGTTACATATGACTACTAAGATAACTAGTTCAGGAAAGAGAACATTTAAGGATTTTATCCCATTTGATAGGATAAAGTTATCTAAAATAATTATGCCTCCATGGAAAGTTGGTTTTAGGAATCCTCAATATCCATTCCTATCATATACTATCATGTTTACTCACGCATAGATAACACACATAAATAATACCCAGAAAGAATCACCCACTAACTCTGGAATATGTAAGAAAATAGGGGATAGGGCTAATCAGGATCTAGTACACTTCTACACTTCCCTGGAATGCACCTGATAAAGTTTAGGGCTATGTTAGGTGACACATCATCCAAGTTTTCTAGACCGAGCCTTTGCTGAAGTAGGATCAAGAACTAAGATCAAGCTGGTTTCAACTTAAACCACTTTACCTGATTTCCCCAAAGAAAAAGAAAAACAACTGACTTGACAATATCATTTATCTGGCGAAATATCACTGAAACAATTTCAGACAATTTAGAGGTAAGAATCAACTTTAAGAGCGTTGCCTCAAGTGTCAAAAACTCGAGATATGGAGAAGCATTTTACATAGTAGATTATTTAAGATAAGTAGGAGTAAGGCATATATAAGCACTGCAAATTTAGCCAATGAGGTAGGAGTGAGTTGAGGTGAGATTAGATGGAATAGAGGTACCTACATATAAACTGTTTAGATATATGGTCTTTATATTCCAGAAAAATGGAATGATAAATGAAAATGTTATGCATAGGACTAAAGTAGGAAGGTTGAAATGGATGAGTGCCACAGTACAATGTGATCTGAATATCTAGAAAAGTGAAAAGCTAGTTCCATAGCACGACTGTAAGGTAATAATGCTGTATGAGTGAATGTTGGGCCTTATATATCCCCAAGACGAAATCACAGAGATGCGAATGTTAAAACAGTTGTGTCTCATACAAGATTAGATAAAATTAGATATGATCACATCCATCAGAAGGTGCAAGTAGCGCATATAGAGAACAAAACGAGAGAATGTCATTTGAGATGGTCTCTGACCACATGTTATGTAGGCCTCCAGATGCATCGGTTCTTAATGCGAAAATATGATGATTGAAATGTTAAACGAAGAAGTGGTAACCTAAATCATATGGAAAGAAATTATCTCAAAGGACTTGAAATATCTCAAAATCCAGACAGATCTAGAAAAAGAGAAAAAGTTGGAAGTCAGAAAACTGCACAGGTGATACCAACTAGAAGATTAGTGCTCTCAAAATACACTAGTATATTAGAAATATAACCTGCATTGCTCGGATCCTCCAAAATGTTGTTGGGCATGCATTGGATCCTCCAAAAGTTATATATTTTGGAGGATCCAACTTGGGTGCGGCAACATTTTTAAAGGACCCAAGCAACACAGAATATATTAGAAGAAGTGGTAACCTAAAATCATATGGAAAGAAATTATCTCAAAGGACTTGAAATATCTCAAAATCCAGAGAGATCTAGAAAAAGAGAAAAAGTTGGAAGTCAGAAACCTGCACAGGTGATACCAACTAGAAGATTAGTGCTGTCAAAAGATTATAGTATATTAGAAATATAATCTGCATTGCTCGGATCCTCCAAAATGTTGTTGGGCATGCATTGGATCCTCCAAAAGTTATATATTTTGGAGGATCCAACATGGGTGTGGCAACATTTTTTAAGGACCCAAGCAACACATAATATATTGACTAGAATATATTAGAGAACTCGTAATGTTAGATTATATCCAAAGTACATAGTATTGAAATACTATGGACCCAAATAAAGACATCATGATATTGAAAATTCATACAGCCGACCTCAACAAGGCCAATTTTTGGTCATATACTTGTGAAAGCTACATGGACTATATATCTCAAAGAACTAATTTTTTTTATATTCTAATGTTCAACCAGCATCCTTTGTTGTGGTCATATACTTGTGAAAGCTACATGGACTATATATCTCAAAGAACTAATTTTTTTTATATTCTAATGTTCAACCAGCATCCTTTGTTGTGGTCATATACTTGTGAAAGCTACATGTACTATATATCTCAAAGAACTAATTGTTTTATATCCTAATGTTCAACCAGCATCCTTTGCTGTTGTTCTTGTTGATGTAAATTATGGTAGTGCAAAAACACTGATGTTTTGGATTGACTTCATCAGGAGTAGGTTCCGAGGGAAATCAAATACAACTTCAAGTTTTGAACAATACGTCATAACCACATCAAAGATATAGTTGAACAGAAAGCCATTTGGAATTGTATCAGATCCTTCTACAACATGCACATAAAGCAAAAAATCCTAATTTATCCATCGTGCACTAAACAATCATTGTTTTAACATCTCCCGTAAGTATTCGCGTATAAATTTGCTAAACAAATACACAAAGCTGATGGTAATACGCTTAAGGATGAAATGTGTTGCATTTTCACCCTCCTCCCGGCCCTCAAAGACATTTAATTGGATCCAACGAACATACATCTCACAATTTCCCTAACCGATGTAAAATTGAACAGAAAATCAAGCGATAATCATTAATCCCAAAAGGTTTGCAGCTGAATTCCGATTATAATGACTTAGGGTTCACAGATATATTCGCTAATCTCAGATACATTAGGACGCTATCTCAATTCAGGCAAGAAAAAATCCATAGTTCTCGAAACTGAATGCTTAATGACAAATAATCAAAACGAAATCTGGACAAATTAATCTGCGAGATTATTATAAAGCTGATTTATTTAAATGCTTCAAAAAAAAATGATGCGATAAATAGAACTTACTATTCAGGATTCATTGCGATCGACGGGCGATGAAATTCGCCGGTGACGGAGGGATTTACCGGCGAGAATTGACCGGAATCTGAATCTTCGTGGGAGAATTAAAGAGACGTCAAGAAAGCGTTGAAATTTGAGAATGAAGAGAAATTGCTTTTTCCTTTGGTTGTTTTAATATCTTTTCATTTATTTCACTTAATTTATTCTTAAATATATATACTCATTTTTTTCCTTTAATTTTTTTTTTTACTTCTCCTTGTTAAAATAAGTGTTATAATTAATATTCAATTAACATTAAATTAAAGAGTTATTTGGCTAATTTATCTCCTCAAATTATTAAGTATTAAGAAAAATATGTCATTTCACCTACCTTAAATATATGTGCTACACCAAATATATTTTAGTAAAGCTAGTTTTTTTTTTATTGAATGCAAAAAAAAACTTATTTTCAAAATTTAAATCAAACCCAAATATTAATTAAATGAAATGGCAAAGAACAGGACACAACTTAAATATGTGTGTTTTAGTAAATTAGTTTATTATAATGAAATGTAAATTTTATTTTTTTTAAAAAGAAAAATTTAAAACCATATCCAAATATTCATCAAATGAGATGAGAGTGAGGTGGGGATCGATTTTTTTATCTCTTCAAGAAGCTTTTGGCCTAATAAATTTTATATTACTCGATATGTTCAATTAAGACTTTGTATATGTATAATAAAAGGGCATGCAAGATTTACAGTATAATTAATTCTAGAAAATTGAGATATCAATATACGAACATTCGAAATCACTTTCAACATTAAAATATATTCATACAAACAATAATGTACGTATGGTCTATGAATTATAATTGATCAAAGGAAAGGATAACTAAGAATGCCTAATTTCATCCTAATTGAGAGGAAGATAAAAGGTAATATACTCGTGTAAAGTACGTACTCTAAACTAGTTAGTCAAAACGTAATTAAAGAGGTTTAATTTTAGCCTAATGTTAAATTTCATCTAAGCTAAAAATAGTGATTAGTGATCGTTAATCGTACACGTATCCCAATGGAGTAGTAAATAAATACTCAAATAAAATTTTCAAAGCAAAGGAGATAACAAATGGAATTAGTGTATCTTCTCTGCTCTATACTCTCCACTTCCTTCACTTCCTTCTTCCTGTCTCTTCTCCTCCTTTTTCGCCTTCTGCTCCGCCGATTAGGTGACGCCGCCGGAGATGTAGCCGGAGCCGGAGCCGGAGAAGGAGACGGAGAAGACTCCGTTTCTCTTTATGAAGGAACTGTATGGCACGAACGACGTCGTCCGGTTCACCATTCATTTCGATATCCGGTTCGTTACGCACTTATTGACCTTGATCGTTCGTCTAATCCGCCATCTGATCACTTCTCAGCTCATGAAGCTCGTCGCATTTCTGGCACTACTGGTCCAGTGTAAGTGTTGATCATCTAATTACCTTTCGATAGATTGATAGAAAGAAATAATTCACATATGTGTTTTTAGTTTTAAAGTTTATTTTGATTGTTACTTAAATTTTGTTGCAGCGTAACACGAAGAGTTTATTTCCTCTATAGTATAATACGATACATTATGAAACATTATGATTTGTGGAACGATTGAGTGTGATGTTGTTACATTGTTTTTCTTCTCATTTCGTCTAATTATTACTTAATGATCGTATTTTATTATTAAGCCACCTATTTATAGTAGCTCTATCCAGTATCTTACTCTATTTTTGTTGGTTAATCCTGATGTGTGACATTATGTAATGACGGGAAACGATACGATCTATCCAAATGATGCATTATGAAACAATATGTAGTAACCATCCAAGTAGAGTGGGGGTATTTTTCTTTTTAGTTTTTCTCTTGAATTGAACTTGTTTTGTGAGATACTATCAAATGGGATTTATTTATTCAGCTGAATTGCAACTGCGAATTTCTAATACTAAAAGTACTTATTTTGAAATACTGTAGAATTATTCTCAGTTAGTCGTAGATGCCTGCCTCTCTGATTTCTCAACAGTTTCTCATTGATGGGGAAAATATTGTTGTGATGTATGTTTTCCATGGTTGAGTTCTTCTTGGTTAATGATTTAGTTTAAAATTAAACTATGAATTCCATCTTTTGGTGTCTTTATGCAATACATCATGACATCTTGAGGCATTGGCATGGACAAAGTATCACTTGTGCACACGAAATTGGACACCCGATAGTTCAAAAGCTGTAAATGATTTAGTGTTTTTAGTGCTATGGACTCTTGGACTGATTATTCATCTTTTTAAAAGCAGTTTCTTGTTGACAATACCGCCCAGTGTGGGATATGTGCAAAATCCGTTGAGTTTGTATTATTGCTATGATACTGAAGGCTCCTTGCAGAATTTGAAGAAATGCATTGCTGAGGTGAATCATTCTAATTGATAAGTAATCAAAGCCTAAATTGAAAAATACTGTCAAAGTCTCAGACAAGGGCCTGTGTACCATCGATAATCTACTATCAGCAACCAAGATTTGTTACCTAAAATGCTCCTCACACTTTTTACCCCGAGCAAATTAAAAAGGAAGTTCTACTGTACCCAACTGTTTTGCCTTTCTGCTAATTTCCACCCGCTGCATGTCCAGTTTCATTTTCCTTAGATCAAACAGTCAAGTTATATATCATGAGTTTGGCTATTTGCTGACTGAATTCTTTCTCAGGTGACTAACACCCCATGGGGTGAAAGGGTATCATTTCTGTTCAACCCAAACTCAGATGTAGTTGCAAAATCTCTTCATGTTAGTCCTTTCATGGTAAGCCATCTTTAGGGATCACCTTGCCTTTTACTCCCCCTCTTTCAATTTGTTAGTCTGGTTTTGACTTGACATGAAGTTTAAGAAAATAAAGAAGATTTTTGAATTTTGTGGTCTTAAACTAAAGATATGCCAAATGTACCAATTTTTTTTTTAATCTTGTAGTCTTAAACATGTCGTGCGAAAGTTGGAATTAAAGAGTTACCCCAAAGAAGTAAAGAGACATTTTTTTTAAACGGACTAAAAAAGAAAGTAGGACAAACAAACTGAAACCGAGGGAGTATTTACTTACATCTATCTCTAGCTTAATCTGATTTTAGTGACCTTCGAAAAGTGATGCATAACATCGATGTCATGCTCTTGATTTGTTATCTCGTACTGTTCATGAAGCTTGTTCTTTCTATCCCATCTTTTGTGCTGATATCTTATGTTGCTTTCTCCTTGGAGATTATATTCTTATTATTATACAAACCTCTTTTGTAAAGGTTGCGATGGTTTAGAAATGCATAGAATTTGCTAAGTTACCTGTTATTGTGTCCAAGATACTTAAGGCATTTAAACAATTTTGGTGGCACGTCCTTGCTTTTGCTGAACCTGAAACAGAACTCTTTTCTTGTCACTGTTTTTATAGTTTTCTGCCATTACTAGGGCCGGTATATGCAGTGTGGTTAGGTACTTGAGCATATGCATTCACTCTCTGACAAGTACGAATAGACTAATGTAATGAGGCTGAACAAGCTATTGATCCTTTTAAACCCTTGCTATATGACTTGTCTACCATCCTGAAAGGTTCCTACTATTCTAATCCTGGTATTTCAGGACTTTGTTTGGTGCTCAGTTGTTCAGTCTCACATACTTTTTCTTGTTTGATAGATTGGATTTTCCTACGTTAAGACTCTTCATTAAAAATTCCAATTTCATCTTATTTTTGGATTTAACTTAGTCGTTGATATTCATTAGTAGCTTTGTGGAGTTGATTGCAGGATATGCTAGGAAACTGGACCATGAAAACAAATACACCTGGGGATAATCTATTTGTAACAATTTCAGTAAATCATCCGAAACATGGTGAATATTTCTCAGCTTCATTGATGGCCAAAAGAGTATCATCCTCCACACATACTGATCTAGATTTATTTTTCTGGCTAATGCCTCACAAGGTTGCATTAGGGATATATTGGCAGGTAAGCCCTTTAGACTGGAAATAAATTCGTTGTTGATAACTGAATATCTGCAATAGTTTCAATAAGCATCTGTTAATGCATCTTAGTTCAATGGGAAATGATTTTCTTGGTTGAATCTATGTTGTATGCTCGCTCTTTTTACTCCTAAATGACAAGTTTCTGCCTCGTATTCGGTTTTTCCTGCTCCAAATTAATTAGAAGATCCTCCAAAACTTGAATTTTTTTGCTTTTAGTTTTCTCACTGCATGCTTGATGCGCAAACCAGAAGTATTCTCTCATGAATCATGTTTATTAATGTATTGGTAATAAATGTACCGGGATGAAGACTCTTTGACCCAACACGTGGCAAGCGCAGAAGGAACACATAGTCAACCCCGAGTCAGCTGGTGCCAACTTGGCCAAAGACCTAAGATCTCTTAACCTGTCCGATAGGTCCAAGAGCCCAGACAATTCACCTTCCCGACGCCAGCCAAACTCTGAATATCAGGGATTTCATTTTATCACATCCAACAACCACTGTCTTGTCCCCGGGAGGTGCAGGAGGAGATCTAGGAGTCGGTTAGAGTTAGGTTATCATATAAATATCACCTTTTTTCACATGTTGATACACATTGATACATTGATTTATACACACTGTAGCACAATCGTTGTTCATGCATTGCTCATTACTATTGTTGGCTATCGATGAGCTCGCTGCAATCACTAACATTCATTCTCTCTTGTTGTTATTTCAATATGATTTTTTACTTCATTACTGCCTTTAAGTTATTTTTGTTACAATTAGTATAGGAATGACATTCATTCCCTTTCTCCTTTTCACTATATACATCTCAGGCTCTTAAGCTTTGGTGGAAGGGTGTTCCTTTCTTGCAACATCCAAGGTACTACAATCCTAGATACAGAGAAGAAGCCATACTATCTGATGAGAAGCTTCAATGTTGTCCGGTGTTTGTATATGAGACACAGAACAATCAACAGGCTGGAGAGCACTGTTCCAATCCTGCAGATCACTCAACTTCAAGACATCATGGCTTCACTTGGAGGGATGCAAAATGGCCCTGGTGCTAACAGGAATGCAGTAAGTGTCTAAGATATAACGTTAAGATCTTTCTCTTTCTCCAGGGCCAGTTTTTTAATGTTCCAGTACTGTCTTGAAGTTTTGATTTGCATTGCGAAGTTAATATGTTTTTCTATGTTCAATTATTTTCTGCAAGAGTAGCTCAGCCTTTCGTAAATAAATGGCCCTCTTGACAAGAAAATTAAGAAAAGAGAGTCTGGGTAAGTGTTGATGTCAAACAATTTAGATTTTCAATTTTCATGATAACCTTACAAAGTCAAGCTAGTACATTAACAGCATGAGGAAATTGTTGTACTGCTATTTCTGGAAACACAATAAGTAAATTCCGATTCAACTTAAAAAATAGAGAAGATCAACTAAATTTGAGCTGAGAGGTCTATATTAACTATTAAGGCTGCACTTGGTATGGTGTAATACTTTCAATTGAAATGTTACCATAACATTTTTTGATAGTCAAAAACTTAAAATTAGGAACAAGGTGGGAGTGGCCTGGTGGAGAATATATGATATACATATTTAGTCCAAAAGTTTGCTAGAAGAATATATGTAATGCAAAAGGAAGCTAAGTTATTGCTCAAAGTCTTAGATAAAATAGGAGTGGTTCAACTCATACAGAACTAGGAAATAAGCATTCATTATAATAAATATTTTCTTCCATCTCCATCCTGGCTAGCTCGATTCATATCACCTGAAAGTAGCAAATTAACCACAGATCAATTAGGCACTTAAAATTGGGCTTCAATGCTATGAGCTTCTGAAACTAAATGAGATCTTGATAAAGTTGATCATTATGAGTCTTACAACGAATTCAAACAGTAAATAGATAAACAAATAAAAGAAAAGGTCCAGCTCATCTTTTAGTATCACCTAGTAAGAGGGTGTTGATTGAAATAAAAAGTTTTAGAAGAAGTAGGTTCGAATAAATTTGCTAGAAACAGATGGCACTAGCTACAAGTGAGTCAAATGTGATCTTACAAGCTGTGTATTTGTGCTATACACTATTGTTTGTCTTCTCTTAAAAATTGGAAAAAAGATAAGAAAAAATTCAGAAATGTTGGAACTCACTTAAAAGAGAAAAATTTGCCAATCAAATTGTGGAAAAATCTTCAAATAGTTATCTAGTACTGTTTAGACTGTCTATAGGGTGTGACCGTTCTCCAAATCCTGTTAACATGAGATGTTTTGTGCCCAAGACTGCTTTTTTAGTTATCTAGTGGAGTAAATTTTAATATATACTTCTTTTTTTAGGGAAAGGGAACTTAAAAGTACTTCTACTAAGTTCTTCAATGCATAAAGTACAAGGTAGGATCTTGGTAGGTGAGAAAGCGCAAAAATAGCTGCAGGGAAAAGTGATCCGTTCGTCTGTTTGTCCAAACTTCTAAAATCTTAAGTGTATTTTCTCGAAAATGCTTTTGAAAAAAAGTACTTTTGGGGAAAGAAGAGAACTTACTTGCACTTTGTTACAAGGATTGTTAACATCACAATAAGCTTCAAGAGTAATCAAAGCTTGATTGTCTAATTTCATGGCATAATTATAGCAAGGGCAGCTCTTGCCTAGTATGCTTCTGAATGTTGGACAGCATGCATCTATTGAGCTTGTTTTCGTCATGCAAGTTTTAACCTTTGCTTTATCAGCGGCACTGCATTTCAGCTTCGCCTGAGGGCGCAGCCGGGAGCTTGGGCTGGCAGAAATGGTTGCCACCGCTTCCACTGTGTCAGTCCTGCTCCCATCAGCTACCACTTTCTGGTACATTTTTTCACAAAATGCTTTGTTAGGTTCTAGCGATGACTTCTATTTTTGCTTTATATAGGATTCAAGTTCATCGAAAGGGGAAAACGCTATCTATCAAACAAGTTTTTATTTTTGTAAGACAAAGAAGGAAGAACTTACTTGAACACTTTTACATGGATTATTGATATCACAATAGCTCTGAAGAGTAATTAAAGCTTGATTATCCAAATCCTCTGCATAATTGTAACACTTACAATTAGCACCAATTGTCCTCTTAAATAAGGGGCAACACTTATCTATAGAGACTGTTTGTGTCATGCACTTCTTTATTTTCCCCTTATCACTATTGCTGCAACTAGTGGTCGCGCTAAAGTGCGACTGCGAATAGGTGGCGATGTTTTTCGCCATCGCTTGCTGATGGCTGCAGATGGCAACTGCAGCTATCAAGAACATGAGAATCACATACCCTCTAGTCATTTTCGTGATATCTAACCGTATTCGTTTTCTTCTCTCTAGCTACTATGAATCTTTTGTGTTGTACAAACCAATTAAGTTAGTAGTAATCTATTTATGCACATAAAATAGGATAGTCGTACTGTTTTAGAAAGTATTTAATAACAAGTGGATGAAAAAATAACATAAAGTTGACAACAAGTGGACATAATAATACGAAAAAGTTGAACACATGCTCGTAGAAAGAGGAAATAAGGTGATTAATTTGAATAATGTAACGGTAGGTAAGGAGGTAGATGCAAATGTTCATCCAATTTTTTTTCATTGAAAAACTATATTAAATATATGAAAATAAGAATTTTTTATATTTTTAGTAAAAATTTTGGATTCGCGACTAATATTAAGTTTGAATTTAGGAATCACTTCTCCCTATTTTTTTTAGATCTAAGTATTAGGATTTGGTTGAAATAACATTATGGTTTCCACATTCTCCCAAGTGCAACAGCAAATTTAATATTGCACACAATAGATTCTCCTAGCCGCCCCCTTTTGTTTAATAAACTTATTTTTACTTTTTGTCTGTTGGTTGAAAATTGAAAGTATCTAGAAGTGTTCTCCATTATTAACTACTAATAATATAAAATTTAAACAATATATCATTTGGAGTGGGATACGCATGCAACCATGTGATTGATGTGAATCCTACCTAGAATTTGAATGTATGATCTAAAATCAAAATTTTGAATTTCTTTGTCCTAATTTTTGGACTTTTTTTTAGCTTTCAACCCGCTGTTTGATGTCCGTATTGTAGTTCGACTAATTTGGATTTGCGCTGAATAAGACCTCATTCAGAACTTGAGAACTCTAATTAAAGAAGTAGCCCTATCTACTATACCATAACTATCCCTATTTACCTTATTTGATAGCATAAATAGCCTAGGTAAAAAAATGATATTTTGGTGAAAGCACTTCTCTTCCATTCTGTTCTTTTTATTATTGCTTAGTATTTGACATTTGATGTTCAATATTTGTTTTGGGATCCAATTAATTCAAATTCACACAGAAAAATCCCACTTTTGGAAGGTAAAGTATTCTCTACCAAAGGTGACTTCATAACTCAAAACTTTGAACTCGAGACCTTTGATTAAGGATAAAGAAATACTTGCCAAAATAAGATGCAGATTGAAGAACCTGAAATGGAACTTAACGTTTTTCTAGATAGATTATGGACTAGTTCAACTTGTGGAACAGCAGTAAGATAACAGTTGCAGCTGTCAAATCGAACTATTTCTTGGCAACTTGGACAATTTATAACGATGTTTGTCCCACATATCACTAGGAAGATCGAGATAAAAGAAAATGTGAACTTGGCACGAATGATATTTTATGATGCAGTATTCAGCATCAATTCTGGAAAAAAAGAACATAAAACTGAACAGAGATGACATTTGGCAAGTTCACCAACAATCAATGTTCATATAGAAGAATAAGAAACTATGGGATACAGAGTAGTTTTGTATATACACACTAAGAAATCTAATAATTTTTTTACTATGAATCCAATCTTTCATTGTAGTATTAACTTGAGGTCGTCATAGGAACCACTTTGGACACCATCATGCTTTTAAATCATGAAAATTTAAATCTGAAACAAATCATCAATTGACTACGTATCACATATCCAAACATATCCTAGATCTCTTCATAGTTAACCTCGTGATGATCAATATGGATGATGGTGAGATAGTTGAGATTATCAGACTCATGTATGGTTTGTACTTGTAGGAATAAAAACAATCTTGTTGGGAGAGTCATTTCCGAAATAGACCATACAAAATTGTGAAAATTCAAATTTAATTGGACTCCAATATGAATACTGAATATCGAAAGAGAAATTAAAAAAAAAAGGACTCATACATGAGAAAATAGCCAGAGTTGGAGTTATATCGATTCACTTTGTTCTGATATAAAGTGAACATATACAACAAATATAAAGCGAATTGATTTAGGGTGTGTTTGGTATGAAGGAAAATATTTTCCGGAAAATGTTTTCCAATTTTCTCATGTTTGGTTGGACTAAATGTTTTCCAAATCAACTCATTTTCCTCAAATTTAAGGAAAATGACTTCCCTTCTAAACTTAAGGAAAACATTTTCCAAAACTCTCTTCCAACTTCAAATTACAATTATTTTTTTTGTTGAAAAAATCAATTTATTTTGTCCCTACCCTCAAACCACCCCTCCCCCCCCACAAAAAATTTAAGTTTGTTTTTAAAATATATTTTCAATTTCAAAATTTTATTTTTTTCACCCCAACCCTCGACCCCCCACCCACCCCCCTACCAGCCCCCAGCCCACCCACCCCCCAAAAAAAAAAATTAAGTTTGTTTTTAAAAAATAATTTCAACTTCAAAATTTCAAATTTTCACCCCTACCCTCGACCCCCCCCCCTTCACCCACCCCCACCCTCCAAAAAAAATTTAAGTTTGTTTTTAAAAACTATTTCAATTCAAAAATTATTTTCTACTCTAGTAAAAATAAAAAATATTTCTCAAAAATATTTTTCATTCATAAATCAAACACTAAAAATCTTTTCCGGAAAATATTTCTACTCACCAACCAAACATGAGAAAATAAGTCAAAAATCAACTTATTTTCCAGGAAAACATTTTCCTTCATACCAAACACACCCTTACTGTATCACAAGTTTTTAAAGTAAACTATTACTACATTTGATAATTAGCCAAATTATCGTTGTGATTAAGATAATTAAGACAGAAAGTACCATTATTTTCGAAATTTTGTCTAATTTTATTTTCAAGTTCTTGTTGAGCCTAAAATGAACTTGGGTTGATCAATTAAGCATTGGGCCTAAAGTATTACTAAATGATGGATCAAACCAAATAAGTGTTTTGCTTTATGCTTAACTGAGTAAGTGATAAATACTCATACATTCTTGTTAAATACAAAATCATTCCTCGATCGATGATTTTGGAGGGTCACCTGTCCAACATATATTCAGAGAACTCAACATCATTACTGATATTTTATCTAAATATGATTATTCCAATATTGTTATTACTATATATCTCATCAT